TCGGCTTTCCACAAAGCCCCAACTTGTAAACATGGAATATAAAGTCTTATACAATGAGGTGTGAACAAGCTTTCCAATCACATTACTCATTAATGCTTTTCATGACACCTTCACTTGAGTAAAAACAATGAACTGCTACAGTTAACTGTTTTTGTACTGATCTCCACCTCTGTGCCTGTTACTTTTCCTATCCTGTCAACCTGCTGAAAATTCCTCCTTCAACATCCACTTCAAATGTATACCTTATATGAAATGAAATTAATTTTCTCTCAGAATTTCCATTGCACTTTACATTTCTATAGGTAAAAAGGTATTTTGGTCAACTACATTGCTAGACAACTCTGCTTATAATAGGGATGGTTTCTTTTTTATTACACTGTATCTTGAATGGGAGGAACTACAAATTAACTGTAAATGCCTCAGAGAAACAGCATGCTTGAAGGTTCCCTGGGTGTGGTTATTCTTGCTCATTAGGGCAGGTCGAGGAATCTCTAAGAATCAGGTTCTTCAGGCTTCCCCGGTAGCACAGTGGTTGAAAATCCGCCTGCCAATGCAGGGGACACGGGTTCGATCCCTGGTCCGAGAAGATCCCACATGCTGCGGAGCAACTAAGCTCGTGTGCCACAACTACTGAGCCTGTGCTCTAGAGCCCGTGAGCCACAACTACTGAGCCCACGTGCCGCAACTACTAAAGCCCGCGCGCCTAGAGCCTGTGCTCCACAATGAGAAAAGCCACTGCAATGAGAAGCCCGCGCACCGCAACGAAGAGTAGCCTCCACTCACCACAACCAGAGAAAGCCCGCATGCAGCAATGAAGACCCAACACAGCCAAAAATAAATAAATTAATTTAATTAAAAAGAAAAAAAAAAGAATCACGTTCTTCATAGGTTCACACTATTTCTGCCCTATCATTGTGAAGATTATTTCTTAGAATATTAGGTCCATTATAAAATGCTATAAAATGAAAATATTTTACTAGGATCATATTCTAAAATATAGTAGCCATTTTTGTACAAAATTTTGTTCAGCATTTAAAAAAATCATCAGTATCTAACAGTGCATAGAAAACTAAGATCTGTAATATATGAAGAAAAAAATGACAGATAAATCAGATTGTGCCTTTTATGTCTCATCTAGTAGATACCACCCTGATAAATAGAGAAGTACCTAATCAGATGAATGAGTACACTGCACACCTATGTGGTCTCACTGACAACTGAATCTATGAGACTTTTACTTACTCCCTTCTGGTTTGTTTTTTGGCATGTAAGTTTTGTTGTGGAACACAACACACAAGCAAGAGGAAAGAAAGAAAATTTAAAGATTTAATAAAAATAGTTAATATTGCCTCTTTCATGCTATATTGCCTCTTACATAAATAAGACATGTAAATCTTTACAGAGTAAACTGCAAGGGACTCTGCCTCCCACCCACAAATTCTTCACTGCAATAGTATTTTATTTCAACTTCTAAAGGAATTACTAAGACCCAAGTAAGTTTAAATTAGCCTGGCTTCAGCATATACAACACATATAGCAATTTTTAAACCTTTTAAAGCAATAGTAAAGAGTACTCCTATGGTATATGTGATATATACCTTTGACTACCTCCTTGAGGAAGAAGTGCATTTGAGGATTCAACCCAAATAAATTAAGGCCCCTTGAACAGACTTCCCTCAATTGCTCCTACTACTATTTACATGGTTAACCTCCAACTACCTACAATTTCCCCAAGCAGATATTCCTTCTTAATTTTGTTTTACTAAAGCTAAATTATTAAAATAATTTTTGTGGGACTTCCCTGGTGGCACAGTGGTTAAGATTCCGCACTCCCAATGCAGGGGGCCTGGGTTTGATCCCTAGTCAGGGACCTAGATCCCACATGCATGCCGCAACTAAGACTTCACATGCCATAACTAAGGAGTCCACAAGCCACAACTAAGGAGCCCGCCTGCCACAACTAAGACCCAGTGCAACCAAATAAATAAATAGAATAGAATAAAATAATTTTTGCAAGAATGGGCAAAGATAAAGAATTGGACAGTAGTTCGAAGCAAAAAATAAAATTTGTACCTCTAAGACTCTGTTCAACTGGTAGAGATACAGATAGAAGTATATCGTATATGAAAGATATAATGTATAATCTAAAGTGGATAAAGTGGCCACAGCTAAATGGATGGACAAAACCCCCATTATGTTATAGTTTTGGAATATTATAAATAAAAATCGGCATCAAGCAAAATTTCTATTTTAGTTGCTGTTTATGCTTATACCTATAATATACGTAACAATTATTCTCTCTACTCCTTAGGTTCTTCTACTCATGTTTAAAAAAAAACACTAATTAAAATAATGCTATAAGGCCATTAAAAGCATTGTAACTAATTATTTAAAATATAGAAATATATTTGACATAATATTGAGAAAAATACAAAATGATGACTACAGTTATATAAAAATTTGTATGCACAAGAGGAGTGGAAAATGTAAAAACAATGAAAATAATTCTTGGAAGTAGTGAGATTGAATCTCT